GAAAGATCAAGATGGGTAGCTGTGTTAGTCTGTAGCAGTAGAAAAGAGCAGGAGTCCAGTAGCAACTTAAAGACTAACAAAATATGAGCTTTCGTGAGACACTGCTTACTTCTTCAGATCTGAAGAAGTGAGGAGTGACTCACAAAGTTCCTATTTTGTTAGTCTTTAAGGTGCTCCTGGACTCCTGCTCTTTTCTACAGTTACTAGAAAGATGTAGCTAGATAGACTGTTTTATTGTGTTATTCCTCCATGTAACCCTCCCTAATATCTTAGGTCTCTTCCACACCGGGGGGGGGGGGGGGGGCAGGGCAATACATGCACCTTCCCCGTCAGTACCTGACAAAGGGAGCTCTGATTCTTGAAATCTGACACCCTGGAAATCTTGTTGGTCTCTAAGGTGCTACTGAACTTGAATCCAGCTCTTCTACTGCAGGCCAGCATAGCTGTCTGCCATGACACTGAGAGTTCTGTGATAAGCAGCTTTAGTTGTCACTGAGCCTCTATGCACCCCTGGGCAAAGCATGTCACGGTCGGTTTGCAGCATTCATTCCGATGGGTTCGAAAGAGAATCAAGCAGCAGAACAAAGTTATGACACAACCCCCACACTGAAGATTATGTCTGACTTTATGATAAAAAAAGGTTTGTCCTTCAGCCCTCCCAACAGTGGCTAAAGACAATGACAGCTAAATTATACCTTTGAAAGAGGAAAGTGGGAAACGGAGAGAAGCACAACTCAAAACTTTTCTTCAGCTAATTCACCCATCTGCTGCATTATTTTTATGTTCCAACAGAAGGTTATGGCCACCAGTGAATGTTTCCCCTGTGCTGTGTGTGAATTAGAGCTTTTTGGACAGAAAGCAACTTTTTGGTTTCTTGGGCATTTTCCTCCAAACCCTGGTGGATTACAAAACCAAAAGATCTTCCCTAGAGCTGGCTTCACAGCTTGGACAGTGGCAGTATTTCTGCAGCTTGCAGTTGACAGAAGAGGAGAGAATTGGGGTGAGATGCATCAGCAAAGTGGATTTTAAATTACCAGCCTACCAGTAAGGATATCTGCTGAGGATCAACCAGGCACCAGTAGGAGAGGATGCAACCAAACAGTCCAGGGATCCACGAGTGACTCAAACCCATCCCTAATCTCAGTGCCAAGACTTACTGAACAAAATTTCCCCATATGGAGAGCCCAAGTGCAGTGTGCGCTTCATGTACAGGATGCTCTGGAGGCAACTGAAAAAGATGTACCACAAAACAAACCAGGAAAGGGGGCTTTCCTTAAATTGGATGCGAAAGCCCAACTAACTATTTTAACGTGTGTTAGTGACGTGTGTTAAGTAGAAGTCCAACATTAGAAGGGGAAGACCCTTGAATAATGAACTGACCACTAGCCAGGTCACTGGTTAGTCTGTAATTGGGAGATGTTGCCTGAGTTTTGTCATGTAAGCATTTTAGGTTTCCTTCTCCCTTCCTTTGTTCTAAGATCATATGTTCCAGCACTTTGGTCAGGCTTTTTGATTCTACATAACTAGGGGTCTTGTATGTGTGAGTTCTCACTGAGGCTCAAGGCAGATTACAGATTAAAGAAACAGACCGCCCCCCAATGTAAACATACAGTATAGATTAGAACATCAAATGAACAATGCAGTAGGACTAGGAGTACAAAATGTAATGACAATTGGAGCTACAATGTGAACATACAATGTAAGATATACAGTGAACCATGCAGATAGATTCAGGTGGGTAGCTGTACAACGCAATACAACAGGGAATTTAAAATTATGCAAAGTGGGGGAAAAGAACTGGGTAGGGGGGAGGCAGAAGATCAATCTCAGACTATGTTTGCTGCCCAGTAATAGGAAGTAGTCTCCTGCATCAGAAAGACATGAAATCTTTGCTTGCACATGCTGGCAGGCAAATAGGCCTTTAAAGAAGGGGGAGATAGAGAAGTGACACTGGAGAAAGTTTGAGGCTTCCTTCTCCTGCAGTACCAAAGAGCATACAAGAGAGATCAGTGATTACAAAGTATCAGGTCATCTCTGTACATCAGAAAGAACTACTGATTCAGGATCTGAGATCACCACTTGAGGTTCTTAGGAAAGGAGGGAGAAATATTACTCTCACACCTTCTTATGTCCACTGTGCAATTGAGAAAATTAATAGCCTGTTTGGTTGAAAGGGGAGGGTCAAGGTGCACCTGGAAGTATTTCCCACTGAATCCAATTGTAAAAACTATTGGATTGATTGATCTGCAAATTTATTTAATCCATTTGTACCCCACCTTTCTCCCCAGTGGGAACCCAAAGCAGCTTACATTGTTCTCCTCTCTTTGTTTTTGCTCACTTCTTAATGATGCCACCAGTATGAAGTTGCCATCCATCTTAAGATACATTTCTAATGTAGCCCCTGAATCTAAGCATCATATTTAGTTGTGGTATAGCACATTTCATGCATTGTATCGCCTTCCTCTATTATTACTTTCTTCAAAGATTTTTCTTCTCTTTGGTCCCGGTCACACGGGCAGGAAACTGCGGGGGGGAAGTGTGGCAGTTTGCCCCGGGGCAAACTAAGGCGCGGTTACCTGATCAGACCTCCCGTGGAGGTACTGTGGAGGTTCCGTGGGAAAGGAGAGGTGCCGATCGCAGGACAATCCCGCGCGCAAAAACGAAGTGCGCGGTGCGGCAAACTGGAAGGTTTTTTTTTGTTTACACCATGACTGCGCATGCTCCGTTGTGTGCTTTTGCGCATCCACAAAGACTTGAAGAAAAAAAAACTTTTTCGCCAGGGAACATGGGCGGGCGCCGGATGCCACCGGAAACGCGATCAGACGCCCGCCCTTGCCCCGCGGTTTCCGGAAACTAGTACCTCGGAGGTACTAGTTTTTTGCCGCGTGGTTTCGGCAGGAAGCCTCGTTTGAGCCACGGGAGTGCTACACTTCCCAGATGTGCCGGTGAGATCGCGCCCGGAAAACCCGCATGTCTTCCGTCTGACTCGCATGGCTAATGTTCCGTGTGACCGCAGCCTTTGCTAACCAAATATGGTCTAATAAATTTGCAGGTATTATTTTCTGGCAAAGTGATATATAATCTCTGAGTAATCGTTTCCATCTTTTCTAGGCGCACAACTTCTATAAACTCTCAGAGGTGATTATTAGTGGGTGTCGTTCATGGTAACCTAACAGCTTGTTCTAATGCTATCTTGGGAAATCTTTTACAGAGGTGAATGCTGTTTATCAGATACCTTAGCTGTACTGTGGTCTCTAACAATCCCAAATGTACATCTTTGGCATAGCCTATAAACAGTGTTCCCTCTAAGCTCAGTGTGAGCTAGCTCAGTTTTTTGGACGCCAGCTCACAGATGTTTGTTTTAACTCAGGAAGGGTGGCTCCAGAGCAAACTAATTTATGCAGTAGGCAAATCACTCGCTCACAACTTTAATGCCAGTAGCTCACAAAGTAGAATTTTTCCTCACAGGGCTCCACAGCTTAGAGGGAGCATTGCCTACAAATACATGGTGCATTTGTCATATGAATAAAGATATGTGGCTACTTCTGAAAAATCATGATTCAGTGTAACATCCAGTGTAACTGGAACTAGGAATTGTTGGAAATGTATGGCATAATTTATATTTATAATTATTTCCAAATAAGGCTGTAAATCCTGCTGTTTCGCCTTTGCCTTAGCAAAGTTGATTTGCAATTGTACTTTTTGGATCATTCTGATAGGCAAATAACTGCCTTCCCTTTACTAGAAAAGTGATTCAAATACTAATTTGGAAGACCCATAGCTCAAGAGGTATTTTGGGTATAGTTGTGCAAACCTATTGGATCAATGCAAATGTTTTAGTCCAAGTTGAGACATCATGGAAAATAACTGTGGCAGGGAAATCTGCTATTTCTCTAGTCATCTAGTCTATATTATTTTAGTTTATACTGAAGGACATTTTTCCCACAGTGGTTTCATTTGCTGTATTAAATGCTGTATTAATTTGCCAATGGCAAATATCTTCTGTATCCTTTTCTCCAGCAACATGAGAGAGAAGGAAATTAATGGATCCATTGAGAGCTGAAAAAGAACCAAATCTTTTAAAACTCCAGTACTGGCCATAAGCTATCCCAGGTAGTCTACAACCCCAAAATTTAAGCAAAGGTAAAATTATATCTAGGGTAAAATGAAAAACAGGATCTCTTTCGAAACTTTCCATGCTGTCCCAAAGGAAATACTGCAATCTTGGACTGCCTTAACAGTTATTTGCACTCTTCAGTCTCCCTAGCCTCATGGTTCTAAATGTGTTAGAAGCTTAGGAAATACCCAGGGACCACCTTCATCTGTGGTGAGCAGGCATTTGGGTTATCTGAAAGCTGGTAGTGATAGGTTTGGAACACTCATATAAAGCTTTTGTTTTATTTGCCCTGCTCTTTAACTACTATTAAGCTACAGTTTTGGCTTAACTAGCACACTGCTTTGCAATTCTTTCAAAACCTTAGGAGTTGGGTTTTTTTTTTTTTTTGCTTCTTCCCATTCTTGTCTCTTCACAAAAAGTAATGCTGAACCAGAGGACTGCAGCACTAAGTCAGCATGTGAAAATGGAGTAGTATTTTCATTAAACTTGCCCTTCAAAACAGTTATGCTTGTTGATGCTTATGTATAGGTTTAATAGGATTGTTAACGTTTATTGAGGGCACGCTGAGCCATCATTTAGGGAAAGGATTTAAGTGATTTTCATCTGAGATGTTGGGTATGTGCATGTGAACTCTGGGCTGTTGATTTTTTTTTTAAAAAAATCAGCTTTAGTACTCAGTTTCGGAAGATACCCACATTCTGTATTTATTATTTTTACTTTCCTTGCAGGAAATCTGTAGCTCTATCTAATGGTGTTTGCCATTATTAGTTCAAGAAATAAAATTACTCTAAGTGATTTTATGTAGAACTATATACTGGGAGAATTTTCATCTGCTATTGAGGACTTAAAAATGTCTACATTTCTTTTTTTTTCCTCCTCCCAGATCATTGAAGAATGATGCTGTTAGTGAAGGGAATACCTTAGAGATAGAAAGCTGCTTCTCCTCTGAACATCTTCCAGACAAGTCGAAGATGCCAGATCTCATTAAGAAAGTAAGTAAAAGCAAAACATTTGCAAAATAGAATAGGATAAATGGTTACTGTTGGATCTATGAATAATAGACTACTGGTATTTGCAAAAGTCTACGAAACTTCTTCCTGCTAAACCTTTTCTGCTGTGTTTAAATAAATTCTGAAAATTATAATCCTTTAAGCTGCTACTGTTTATTTATTGCACCTACAGAGATCTGCCTTTGTCCCTAACCAAATTTTACCTTTATATACAGAGACCATGTTTAGTCAGTACCAGCCACCCCTCATTACTGCAGAAGATAGTCAGGGGAAGAAGAATGGAAAGGGGTACACTGAATGTGAATGAAAATGGGCCAGAACTTTATTGCACTGAAGAATCTAAATTTGGTGGAAAGAAGGCGGAGATGGCAAGGCCATCTAGTCTGACTACTTGTTAATTGAGGAAAGTGGAAGTGGCACACTACCATGGGCAACTTTAGTTGATCCTGCAACCCAGCTGATCACAGTGGATCATCTTAAGTCCCCCCTAAAGTAGAGGTTTACTAGTAACCCATGCCCACGTGCTCTCAGTCCATTGTTCCTGCTCAGTGCCAAAATGCTAGTTACAAAGATAATCTCCAGTGTTAAAATTGATCTGTTCCTGCACCCCTCCTTTCCCCATCAGTGGTCCACAGCAGTGTCTCTAAGGATGAGCATAACTTGTGGGCAGGTTCATAACAGAGTAGTAGTAGAAGAAGACTTAGGTTTATACCCCGCCCTTCACTTAGAGTCTCAGAGCGGCTTACAATCTCCTTCCCTTCCTCTCCCCATAACAGACACCAGGTGGGGCTGAGAGACCTCTGAGAGAACTGCTTGTGAGAGAACAGCTCTGAGAGAACTGTGACTGATCCAAGATCACCCAGCTAGCTGCATGTGAAGGAGTGGTGAATCAAACCCAGTTCTCCAGCTTAGAGTCCGCTGCTCTTAACCACTACACCAAACTGATTTTTATGTACTACTTTTATAGTTCACCTTTCTCATTGAGAATCAGGCAAATTACAGAATTAGACAACAATGCCAAAAGTGCAGTATAATATAAACAAAGAAGCACTAAAGTTCTACACTAACTGGAGTTTGAGTTGTATTAACATGCAGGCTCATGTAGAGCGCATTACTAAAGTCTAGCCTCGAGGGTAACCATGGCATGGACATGGCCAAACTGGAAGGATTAAAATACAGAGCTATTTTCTGAGCTCCGTGAAGATGGCAGAAAGCATTTGCTGCAGGTGAATTAAGTAGCTTCTCTAGCAACAATGCTAGGTAAAGTATAAGTGTGGTCCAAGAACCTATGCCTCTAGAACCAAATAGGACTCAGTACAGAACCCAATATGACTCTTTTAAAAAGAAAACAAAATCTTTAAGTTATGGAATACTAGAGGGGTAGGTGTTATAGTAGAATGACCACTATGCAAGAGAAATGGGACAGAGGGACTAAAAGATTTCTTAGAGATGCTTTAAAGACAGAGGTGAACAGTTGCCAGTAATCCAAGTGCAAACTACGTGCAGATTTATGCCAGTGTATTAAAACAATCAGCATCACCTCTATCTTACCAAGATTCAATTTCAACTTGTTTATATTCTTAGCCATTTAATGACATTAGCCAGGCACTACATCTACAGCAGCATCAGGAAGGCTAGACAAATAAATGTACATCTGAGAATCATCAGTGTATTAGTGACACGTAACTCCAAAACTCCAAATTATCTCTCCCAAGGGCTTTACATCAAGATAAAACTAAGCCTCGTGAAACCCCATAAGTTTTACATTGTTGACAAGTGGTTTCTGACAGCAACCATCACGTGTCTGATCCGTAAGGAATTGTGTAAACCAGTCCAAAGCGTAACTCTTGATACCTCCTTCTTCCTCACACACCTCTGCAGATCCCCAGGGTCCTCTTACCATAGGTGGGTTAGGACCAGGTATCTGAGGGTACCAGCGATGAAACTGCTGGAGCAAGACCAGAGCAAAGACATCAGCAGCTGCTTTGCAGGCTCACTCTTCAGGGCTGTATCCCTAAAAGTCAACAAGGTACCACAGGCAGCCATGCTGGAGAAAAGAATCCAGGAACTGGGCCATCTCATATTCCAGCTCTCCATCCACAAGGATGGGAGGCAGTGGAACTGACTGAGACTGCAGGACATGCAGAGGTGCAGCAGGGACCAAGAGGGACTGATGAAACACCAAGTGCGTGGGCAGTACGCCACAGGGCCTGGAGGCAATAGGCCACAGGGTTCTCCTGTTTCAGAACAGGATAGGAGCCTACGAAGCAGGTGTCCAACTTGCATGGCTGGTGGCCCCCTTTTAGACAACCAGACCAGATCCCCCTCCTTCAGCGCCCCCCTGGTTGCCTCATTCTGTCAGCCACTTAATTATAGGCTTGTTTTGCCTGGTCCGAAAGGATGGTACCCGTAGTTGGCCATAAAAGGTGTCTGCTGGGCTGAGGAGTGTACCACATTGTTGTATGCAAATTTGGCTGGCAGCAAGAGCAGCACCCAGTTGTCTTGCTGATAACTGGTATTACAACGTAGGTACTGTTCCAAGGTAGCAATTGGTCCCTCTGTCTAACAATCAGATTGAGGATGGTAAGCCAAGGAGAGTTGAACCTGTGTACCCAGGAGGGTATGCAGGGCCCACCAGCTGGGAAGTGAATCGGGATCTGTGGGCCTCAGGAAGTCCATTGAGGTGGAAGATGTACTGCACTAACAGCCATGCTGTCTCCTGCACCGAGGGGAGGCTCATGCAGGGGATGAAGTGACTCATCTTGGTGAACAGATTGACCACAAGCAGAATGCTGGTAGTTCTGCTGGACCAGGAAAGTCCTGTGGTGGAATCCATACATATAGTTCTCCATTGCCCAGGTGGCATGGGTTGTAAGAGCCCTGCAAACTGTTCTGACAGGTTTTTGGCTTGTTGACAGCCCTCGCATGATGCTACATAACTGGTCACGTTGGCTCAGACCTGAGGGCACCAGAAGTGCCAGGTGTGGAGGTGCAGTGTTTTATGCTGCCCAAAATGACCTGCAGGTTTGGAATCATGGCAGAGTTGCGGAAGTTCAGACTGGAGGGGCCCAGGAAGCCCACAGAGCCTACCCACATAAGCAAGAAATCCCAGGTTGTCTGAAAAGCCAGAAGGTGGGTTCTTGGTAGGGTCTTGTAGTGTCTGGAGGTATGCTTGGGCAAACTTATCCTTTTGCTGGTAGTCCCGCAGACAGTCTGTCTTGGGAAGGCCCTGATGAATGCCTGCAAAGTTCTCTGGCTGGAGGGCTGTAGCTGGCGGCTCATCTTCCGGAGGGATGCGTGCATACTCTAGGTGCCCAGGGCCTTGCCTCCAGCCTGGTGAGCAGGACAGTTTGATCCCACCCTTTGTGCAGTTAGAGGATCTGGGCCCACAAATCCTGTGGATCCAAGTGGCTCAAGTGACTGCCGTCATAGCTGCACTACAGCAACAGCAGCCCCCTGCTTGCCCTCTGCATCTGTTGCACTGTCTTTGGAAAGCTGCTATCCAGTGTAGTAAAGATCAATGTCAGTGAAGACATGCAGTAATTATCAAGAGTGTCATTGCTAGCTTCATAACTGATATTTACTGTAGGATTTTAAAAACAGGTGTTTCAAATGAAAACTAGAATTTTGCTTGTGTCAATTATGTGCAACAAATTAATGACTATAGTAACTGGCAAGTTTTAAAAATACACTCTGAAATCCTCCATCTGTGTTGTTGAAATATAACACATAGCACTTACAAACAACATGCCTCTTCATCTTCTGTACCTGACTTCTGAAATGGGTTCAGGGATGCAAGCTACTTGATTCCATACATAACTACTGGTGTACTCAGTGAATCTCTTCTAGTTTTCTCTGCAGCCTTATATTTGATGTGTGTGCAGCTTTCAAAGATTTTGCCTTCTTTCTTGAATTAATCCGCTGCTTGCCTTTTTTTTTTTTTTACACAGAAGCTTGGGGAATTACTAGAATCATAATCCTTGTGCTGATGTCTTTGAGGAAAATTGACCTTTAAGTGTAACTGTATATTTGGTGTAGTATAGATTTGTGTTGCTCTGTGTGTGTGGTTTTGTGAGTAGCTTTTTGGTCAGCAACCTATATTAAATAAAAACGAGGATGGAAAAGGCCCTAGCCACTCCTAAACAAATGTCAGATTTAGAGGCTGGAGATCAAGGGGGGTTGAAATGAGTGTTGCTGAAGGTTTTTCTTGGGGCAAGTTATATTTCCTTTCCCAGTTCAATATGTCTTAAAGCATAAAAAATCCTCTAATGGTTTAGATGGACAACTTTAGATCTGCTTTTGATCACCTGTTAAGTGTACAAAGATAAATAAATTACTTGATGACTTAAATATATTATGACTCCATGAATGTTAAATTCTTGGAGGACAACTCTCAGATTTGGGAACACGCAATGAAACCATTCTTGAGTTCTTATGGGGAAAAGAAGTCTTTTGTTATATCTGGAAAATAGAGTTAGTATGTTGTATGATAAAATGATATTCAGCCTTTGCTTTGACGAAGATCCATGTGTTTTATCCCAACGATCTTTTAACATATAAAGGTAAATCCTAAACTGGATTTTTAGCTGAAATCCAAATGATAAGAAGTAATCTCACAGCTCTTTTGCACTTCTTTAAGAGGCACATTTCTGCTTGCCTCTTAGCATCAAGAGTGCAAATTACACGATTTTTCCACCGCCTGAGAACTGTGGACTTTACATAAGTTACCTGTGGGGTAATGTGTTGTTTCAGCACACCATATGTGAAAACTGATCTACAGTGACTTTTCACCAAAATGAAAGCAGAGCATGGCCTGTTCCAAACACCAATACACAATTCTTCTGTTTTGGGTCCAGGAAGAAACTATGGATTGGACCCCAAGTTTCATTAAATTAATGATGGAGTATTCCTCCAGTGGAAGAGGTGTGTTCCACTGGAGGGAAGACTCTTTGGGGCAGAGGAACACTTCTTGAACTGAGGGA